CGTTTTTTTTCTTCTTCCTTGTCAGCCTTATATTTGGCTGTTTGCTGATGGCACCTTGTAAGTCATATACCCCTTTTTGGGGGGTTTCGTTGGCAAGCAGCACAATCAAAGAGGGAGTTCTTTCAACAGGCCGTGTCTCTTTACATGCAACCGGCACTCACTGGCCCATGTGTTATGGCTTCGTGTGCTTTGTTGTTTCTCTCCAGTTCTTAGTGTTGTTGTAAAGTTCATTCGTTCTGGTTAAATAGTGTTTTTTGGTGTTCTCCTCCCTTTCTTCTTCGTAGTCGTCTTCTGTTTTTGATCTGGGCTATTATGTGGCAATGGTTGTGTGTATGTGTGTGTATATCACTTCTATGGTGTATGTTGTATGCAACCATATGTTCCTGTATTTCGTTTCACCTTTGACACGAGTAAAGACCCGCCTGTTTTGTGCCAACCTGGCTGCCATCACAGCACAGAGTGAAATGCCTGCCCGCTTGCCTGCCAAATTGTAATTAATGCGAATGACTTGGCTGCAATGCAATGTCATGTAAAAGTGTACCGTAGGAGACAATGTAGGTGTAAATTCAAGTAAATTTTAATGTCGTCTTTTGTCGTTTGTACTTTAACCCCATCACCAGGGTGGACAGTGTTTTAAATTGAGGGGGAAATAAATTTAATATATTTTAATAGAGAACAATTTAATTTTTTCGGTGGGTAAATAAAAAAAAAACAAAAAAATTCTCTTAGAACTTTGGAAGGCATAGGCAAGGATTTCTTTAGGCATATTTTGCCAGAGACCTTTAGGGCGTCACAAGTGATTTTTATACCCTACACAACTATGTTGTCAGGTTATTATAGCTTTGTGCAGCCCCAAATGTTTGTAACGCCGCGAAATATTGGTCATAGACCCACCTTTAAGTATACCGATCGTCATATCTCGACTAGCTGAGTCGATCTAGACATGAGTGTCGGTCCGTCCGTCCGTCCGTCTGTCCATTATAATTTGTAAACACGATACAGGCCACAGTTATGGACCAATCTTCACGAAATTTTGCATGTAGGATGGGTTCTGGTCAATGAAGACCCCTATTGTTTTTGGAAAAGATCGGTTAATATTTAGGGGATGAAATGGACCAAATACTAAATTTTTGTCGGTTTTTCTGGTCGCTCCAGAGGCCGCAATTATGGCCCAAACACCGCGAATTTTTGCATGGAGAAGGGGATCGGGCCAGAGAATAAGCTTGCATGTTTTGATAAAGATCGGTCAATATTTAGCGGGTCAAATGGACCCTGACTTTTGTGTGAAAAATGACAAAACTTGTATTCTATGGCATATATATTTACTCCTGGAGGATGTAGACCCCAGGAGTTGATAGCATATACAAGAGGAGTGGTTGGCCTTTAAATTGATACCAAATATAGTGATGTATCTACTCAGATGTGGGAGTTACAGTCAAATATTTACAGGTGCTTATGTATTCAGATATTATTTAGTAACCCATTACCACATTAGAGGGAGAAATATCGCGCTGATGGCTTTGAAATTTTTCATGAAGTTCCAGTTATGGTCAAGAACAACGCCTACAATTTTCGGTGATGATCAGATTAACATTTTGGGATGAAATGGACCGAAAACATAATTTTTTGTGTGTTTTCGAGTAGAGTATAATCCGAAAATCACAACACACCCACCGTGAAGGTAATCTGGACAAGTAATTAGAAGGACTGTATTGAATATTCGAAAAAAGTAAGGAAGAGGTGTTTTTAACCTCTAATCGGACAAGAGGGGGCAAATATCACGAAATATTACTCAGACTCGGAATAAACATCCTCAGAAAGTTAGAGTTCGTGGTAGTTGTGTAGGGTATCGTATGGTCGGCCCCGTCCGACTATACTGCTCCGCTCACTGGTTTAATGATATTTTCTTAGTAGATTTTTCATAAGTGTGGATTTTTTAAAGAGTAATTCCTCAGCGAACTTCTGAGATATAATCATGGATTAATACAAAATATTTCCCCAATGAGCTTTTGAATAAAAGGCATGTATTTCTTAAAGAATATTTTTCAGTGACCTTCTGAGGACAGCGACGTTTTTTAATATTTTCTAAGGGCTGTAGGACGCATTTGTGTGTATATTTTTAGGAACATTTGTTTAGTAAATTTGAGCAACTGAGGCGCGGTTTTTTTAATAATATTTTCTCATTCGTCTTCTAAGCCATAAGGGTGGATTTTTACAGAATATTTTTTCTATGACTTTCTGAGTCATAATAGTGAATTTTTAAACAATATTTTCTCATTCCCCTTCTGAGTCAAAAACGTGGGTTTTATTTCTAGGACTATAAGAAACGTAGAGTTTTTGAAATATATTTTTTCAAGCACTATCAGCAACATAGATTTTTTAAAGAATTCTTCTCAAGGACATAGAATTTTTTCGAGAAGGGCCATAAAGAATATTTTTCAAGGGCCAACTGAGGCGTGGATTTATTAAAGAATATTTTTCAAGGGCCAACTGAGGCGTGGATTTATTAAAGAATATTTTTCAAGGGCCAACTGAGGCGTGGATTTATTAAAGAATATTTTTCAAGGGCCAACTGAGGCGTGGATTTATTAAAGAATATTTTTCAAGGGCCAACTGAGGCGTGGATTTATTAAAGAATATTTTTCAAGGGCCAACTGAGGCGTGGATTTATTAAAGAATATTTTTCAAGGGCCAACTGAGGCGTGGATTTATTAAAGAATATTTTTCAAGGGCCAACTGAGGCGTGGATTTATTAAAGAATATTTTTCAAGGGCCAACTGAGGCGTGGATTTATTAAAGAATATTTTTCAAGGGCCAACTGAGGCGTGGATTTATTAAAGAATATTTTTCATGGGCCAACTGAGGCGTGGATTTATTAAAGAATATTTTTCAAGGGCCAACTGAGGCGTGGTAACAAAAGCGCTGATTTTTAAATCATAGAGTCTATATTTTCTAAAATACCATCAGAAGTTTAGATTTTTTAAAAAATATTATTAAAATGATCTCATAATAGTTGATTTAAAAAAAATTATTTCAATTTTGAAAAACATGAAGTTCCCACAAACACAGTTTACAGGATGTAGATTTTGTTCCAAAGTTCTGATATAGCCCTTATATATAGAGTTCGAGATTTTTAAAAGATAGTTTTAAGGATATTTGTAAAATTTAATTTTTATGAAATAAATTTTCAATGATCTCAGGAACGTATTTTTATTTATAAAATATTTGTTTCGATAATCTCGGATGTAGCCTCCATATATAGGCCAAGTTTTAGCCGAATTTTCCCATCGAATTGAGTGTAATTTTGTTATCCGGATTCCTGGTGAAAAACAAATACTTCCCAGAAATTCGTACAATGTAGAACCAAGTTTTAAATATCACTGGTGCATATATCATGGTTAAATCTTTCCAAGCCTAGGTTTCAAGCTGAGGTTCATAAATTTTCTGTTTTATTGCTAATAGTTGATAATTTTTTATTAAATAGTCCCCATAATAAAGGTCTCTATCGATATAAGAAATTGAGGATCATATAAAATTTATTTCTGATTGGAAGAAAACCACATTTTTACTTGTTTAATTTCTAAACTCAGAAGATTTAATATATTTTCTCAGTTGATATCTCCGAAGTCTAGATGTTTTAAAATATTCTTCAAGATTTTTATCCGTAAATATATTTATAGATGTGCGATTTTTAGAACTATATTTAAGTATCGTTTTTCCCTTTAGTCGTAACGCAAAGACCAGTTAAATCTTTTTCCGATACTTTTCCATTTTACACCACTGTCCCTCATAAATAAAACCAAAACTTCTTCTTCATTGAATTCCCCTTTTGAATCTATGGCAATTTTCCTGCATGACTATCACTTAGCCGGTTGTACCATGGAATGTGTGCTATGCTGACCTACAATTCCTTTTTTCGGACATGAAAACGACAAGACAAGAAGATTCTGTTTTTCTGGAAAGAACTCAATGTCATTTTTGGCTTGTCTTATTTTTCATTTTCGGAAGGTATTTTGTCATTGCACCAACAGATGGATTTCTTTCCTTACTTTACCAGCAGTAGTCTTACAAGTATTTATCTTCTATTGTTACCCTTTCGTTCGTCCATTCGTTCGTTGAGGCGTTTCATTTGGGGGGCGTTGTAGTTGTAGTACTGCAATGTTGATGTCTTGTTTCTCTGTATCTTGTATCTTTGCCACTTGACATTTCCGTTCAATATATTTGCATTATTTTTCCTTAAGTCATGTAAGAGAGGAAGATTTTTTTTATTTTTGTCGTGCTTCTTTCCATATTTTGTTGTTGTTGCTGTATTCCTTAAAGAACAATGCTTCCGTCTGATGGCACTTGATATTGTGTCCAAGATTTTTAAGATGACCCACTCACAATAGATCAAATAGTCTTATTGCTTATACTGCTGTAAAAATAGACGAAGAAGAGGAACAACAACAATGTTTCTTAGTGAAAGCCTTTAACTTCAGGTCATATCTTTTAAAAGAGGATTTCTTTTGCAGAAATCCAAGACAACAGATGACATATGGACCTGCTGGTCATTTGCAAAATAAAAAAATACAACATTGTCTTTATTAAATAAATAACGAAGGGACATTAATTTAAAGGCAAATGCCATTTAAAGTGGCACCATGTTGGCCATTGGGTTAAGTTACAAAAATCTGATAGCCTTTTTTCGCAACAGAACACAATATTACTTTAACGTTGTTATCCTTTTTTGAATCCATTGTCATTTTTAATTTAGTCAAAAATTGTAATTATTTCCTTTATAGAGTTCATGTTAGTTTCATGTTTTGCGTTTCGTTTTCCTGTTTCCATTTTATTTCGTTCGATATCACCATGTCCATTTAGTTAACTTTACTCCGCTCCAGAATTTCATACATAAATTTACATTTCATTTACAGTTCTTTGTTTCTTTATTGTCAATTTTTGTACTGATGTTTTTGACCATTTTTTGATATTTTTCTCTTTTCCTCTCCTGCTTTTTTTAGAGTGGTGTCGGCAAATCAACTGCTCGCATTGGCGATGGTCCAATTTTGACACTGGAAAAAGTTGAACGTCAACAGGCCGGCATTTATCAGTGTACCGCAGATAATGGTGTTGGAGAACCAGTTAGTGTTGATATCAGATTGGATGTTTTGTGTAAGTATCAACATTTTGAAAATTCAACATGAATATTCATGCATAGCCAGTTTTTTTTTTTTTTTTTTTTGTTTTTTAAACATAAAGAAAATAACAAATTTAGAGAGAAATGGAAAAACTAAATTGATAAAAAATAATTATAAACATGTTTCAGCTTAAATAATTATAAACATGTTTGGTTTGTAATCGAATATAGAATTGTTTAAAGTTAAAAGCAGATGGGACCTGCAATTGTGAGTTAAAATTAAAAAAAAAAATCCAAAAAAAAAAAACTACAAAATAACGAAACCTATGGGTTGTAGATCAAAACGTTCAATACACAAATTTTAAATCTCCCTTACCGTGGAGGGTATAGAAAGCTTATGTTTATGGGACTATGAGTCTTTGGAAAAAATAAATACATTTTATATTTCACAATTCTTCGCCTGCGAATCCGTACAAAAATTTACGATCATGGGCCTAAAAAGCCCTAAAAATTATCGCTAAAAATATTTTTAAATACCTAAACTTCTAAACCTAGAAAATTCTTGTGAAAATCTTTGTAAAACATTCATTCAAATATACTTTTGAAAAATCTACGCTTATACACATTATTTTCCTTCCATACAATGTTTTAAAAGCACAAACTTCCAGGCCTTAAATTACTTACAGTAAGCGGAACAGTTGGACGACCTATGATACCCTACATCCTGTGATACGGAACTGTAACTTCCTGTGGATATATATTCCAGTCCCCTTTCTTCCCCTATCCATATCTTCCGAAGCCTATTTTAAGAGAATTGCAAAATTTGCAAATTTTACTCGGAAAAGTTTTGGTTGTTTTGACCCGCTGAATATTGATCGATCATTGTCAAAAAAGTCATGATTTGTCCATAGTCGTATCCCCTTCGCCGTGTAAAGAGGACAAAAGTAAGATTATTGGTCCATTTCATCCCATTATTATACTAAAAGGTGGGTCTAGGACTACTATTAGGTTGGAAAAAGAAATCCACTATTTTGTCGGCAGATGGCTCTACTGATAGATTTCTCGAAATATATCGATCGAACTAGGGTGTCATTTCGCAGTAAAAAAATATTTTGCTTTTTTTTATTTGGTGATTTAGTTGTAAGTTAAAAATGAATGTGGATAAAGAAAAAATTCGGTACATATTACAGTTTTTTTGACAAAGGCGAAAATGAAAACCAGGTGGCTCCGATACTGTAGTAGCCAGCGGTTCCAATACTGTAATAGCCAGTTATGTGTAATTTGGTTTCATAGATTCCGTTCAGGAATTTTTGATGTTAAAGATTCACCTTGTACAGGTAGGCCAGTAGTCGAAAATGTCGATAAAATCTGAGAAATGATCGAAGTTGCCCGGTATGTTAGCAGTCGTAACATCGCCCAGGAGCTAAAAATTATAAAATATAAAAAAATAAACCAATATTACCTTTAAATCCAAGCTTTCGTATTCCTTCAGCAATTATTATTAAACATTCACATGTTTTGACATTGACCTACTGAAAATATTTGTTTTTTAATCCACGCATCTGTGTGGGGTACTCTTATCTGGAGGCTACCCGAAAAAAAGCAATAAGAACCCCCAAAATACCCAAAAAATAGGAGCTACATTTATATGGGAGCTACGCCTAAACGTGCACCGATATCTGCCATGTTCTCACCTAACCTGCCAGCAGACAGAAGGCAACTCTATGCAAAATTATTATTTGTTTAGATGTGATTACAAAAAACAGAAGCACATTTTAAATCGTTATAGAATATTACGCTGATCTAGAATATAAAACCTTTATAGGGTCGAAAATTAATATTTCGATGAGTTGCAAACGGCAAAGCATACTTAATATATCCTCCATACTATAATGGAGGGTATAAAAATTCCTAAAAAATCCACGCCTATTGCTCAGATGATCGCTGAAATTTTTTCTTTGAAAAATACCTACAAACGATTCCAAAAACCGCAAATCTACATCTATGACTCAACATCAACTTTTATGCATCATATCTTTCATTAAATAGTCTACGATCTTTTCATATCTGTTCATATATTTTCTTAAATAGTCTACGATGATAACTTAGCTATCCCTGACAAAAATTTTATTACACAAAATATTCACTTTCATTGTCCAGAAAGATTTTGAGAAAATAATACAAATACTCTCGCTTATGTCTCCAGTTTTTATACCCTTCATCACACTGTGGTACAGGGTATTATGTCTTTGTGCATATGTTTGTAACAGGCAAAAATAATCGAGATAGACCCATGGTTCCTTTTGAGACTATGCATAGAATCACTTTCTGAGTCGATTTATGCATGTCCGTCCGTCCGTCCATGTATTTTTTTAACAAAGTACAGGTCGCATTTATGATCCGATTTGGATGAAATTTGGCACAGGTCACTTAATTGGCCCAAGGACGACCCCTATTGAAATTGGGAAAAATCGGTCCACATTAAGGCATAGCTCCCATATAAGGGTACCCCAAAATTTTCGGTATTTTGAGGTTCTTGAGCGCGTTTTTTAACTGAATTCGCTGAAATTTGGTACTTTGAGTTCTTATTGGGTAGCAAATCTCTCTACCAAAAATTATAAATAAAGGTCCATTTTTTCGGATAGCCCCCATATAAGATTACCCCCAATTTTCGGTATTTTGGGGGTTTTGATCGCATTTTCCGACCGAATTCGCTGAAATTTGGTACTTTGTGTTCTTATTGGGTAGCAAATCTCCCTACCAAAAATTATAAATAACGGTCCATTTTTTCGCATAGCCCCCATATAAGGCTACCCCCAAATTTTCGGTATTTTCGGGTTTTTTTGGGCTCGTTTTATAACTGAATTCGCTGAAATTTTGTACATTGGGTTCTTATTGGGTACCAAATTACTCCACTAAAAATTATAAATATTGGTCCAGTTTTTCTGGTAGTACCCATATAACGGTACCCCAAAATTTTTGGTATTTTGGGGGTTCTGATCGGATTTTTCGACCAAATTGACTGTAATTTAGTACGTCGAGTTCTTATTAGGTAGCACATCTCTCCACTATAAATTATAAATATTGGTCAATTTTTTCTGGTAGCCCCCAGGTTTTGAGGTTCTTGAACCAAATTCTTTTTTCTGGTACAGGGTATTATGTTTTTGTGCATATGTTTGTAACATGCAAAAATAATCGAGATAGACCCATGGCTCCTTTAGAGAATATGCATAGAATCACTTTTTGAGTCGATTTAAGCACGAAATTTGGCACAGCGTAGCAAATTAGGTCTAGAATGATGTTTGTAAAGTTGCCTGAAAATCGGTTCAGATTTATATATAGCTCCCACATATACTTTCGTCAGATTTGATGTAAATGGTGCATCAAAGTCCCTATATATCTTTCGATTTGCACGAAATTTGGCACAGCGTAACAAATTAGGTCTAGAATGATGTGTGTTAAGTTTCCTGAAATCGGTTCAGATTTAGATATAGCTTCTATATCTGACCAAATGAACAATTTAGTATCGGTTTATGACGTGTTTATGGTTCCAATTTCATTTTACTGGTCCTTTAAAAATGCGACTTCTGTTAGAATTCATCTGTTGAATATACTCAAAGTGGTGAAGGGTATCATATAGTCGGCCCCGTCCGACTTTACTACTTTCCTTACTGGTTTTTTATGCAGATGATATCTAAGAAAGTACCCTTTAAAACTACACAAATCTCAAAAAGCCCACTATTATGACTCACGGCTACTATTTCAATGTCTCAAATAGTTACAGGGGAAATACTCTTTAAAATGAAATCACAGTCCCATTTAAAGATTCACGCTTATGATTGAATTTATTCTCTATAAAAATTCAGTCCATTATTTAAAATTTCATACTTATTGTTCCGACAGTGCGAAAAAATATTTTTAAAAAATCCTTATGGCTCTAATTTACTCTAAAAAACTATTCCTTAACATTTTTGAAAATTCCTTAACCCCAAAATAATATAAAATAATTTCCCTTATTTGCGGTTTGCATTCCTTTATTAAAATCCTTAGCTATAAAAATAAGCTGTAATGAAGATTTATCATCTGCATTTGTTCCATTTTCATTTTAAATACTGCGGTTATCTTTTACGATATCATTGTGTGTTTACAACAATTTCAAGCTATTTTAATGTTTGAAATATGTACTCTAAATTCCATAGTTTTTTTTGTTGGTGTTTTTGTAATACCAGTTAGTACCGACTGACTGCTTAACTATAAATAACAATGACAACATTGAATTCGTCGTATGAAAACCACAGAAGCGAAAGGAACGATGACAAAACTATTCAAATATATATTTCAGTTAACATATTGTACAGATTTACTAGTTGAACCACATACATATAAATTTCCGTATATGTACATGTGTGTGTGTTTGAGGGGATATAGTATATGTAGTGCTAAGATGAATGTCACAAACAATGGTATATGTTGGCGAATATTTATTTCTTGCATATGAGAAAATACATGCCGGATGTGGTGACAAAAATCTGATAACATGCAATTTCCTTCGTTAAAAAATCAAGGAAATATATTTCAAATATTTGTAAAGGCACAAAAATTAAAAAAAATACGCTATTTCTTAAAATTTAAATTAATTGAAATATGACATTTTTGAAATATGAAATTTTAAGTGGTGTATGCAACATTTTTCTATTTTTAATAATTTCATAGAATTTCCCATATTTATCTTACTCCCCCATATATACATACACATATGTATAAGTGTATTGTCGTAAACCACAAAACCACGAACTACTGAAAAATACAGCATTTCCCTATTACTTTCTTGCTTTCTATTCCTTCCAACTGCAATAGAATAACTGCTACTACTACTACCACTACAACTACGGCAACCACGACTACATTGAAATATTCTGTGTTGTCTGCACATTTGTTTGTTTGTAAGTTATATTGCAATTTTTGTTCGTACAATTTACAAAAGAAGATAAATGTAAATATAAATTAAGTATGAAATACAGAACTTAGTCGAGACAGCATATTTTATGACAAAAAAAAAATAATAAGACCAGATTTTAGAAAATGAGAACGAAAATACGATTTGCATCTTGGAAATTATGTGGTTCAACAGAAATTTAAATGTGGAGCAATTACAACAAATACCACTGCAGTCCTTAGTCTTGGATTCCATTGAAGTCCAAGACTGTCAGAAAACTATTGATGCATTACTAATAATAACAATAATAAATAATAATCATCATCAAATACAAATGCAGACAGAGACAGAAAGAAAGACATAAGCAACAACAAAAAATATTGTGATAAACGAATTTTACAATCATTTTTCATAAAAATATATGTCATTTCTACTTGAATTAGTTTTCATCAAGCTTAAAAAGAAAGAATTTCACAAAAACTCAGAAATTGCTGAGCTAGAAAAATATGAAAAATTATTAGTTTCCTTTTTGCCATTATTATTAATAAATGAAATGCATATTTTGTTTTTTTTTTTTTTTGGTTTTATTGCTAAGAATTTCAAATGCTTTTTTCAAGTGATTTGTCATAATTAATTTTCTTGTGTTTTCTGTTCTTCTTATTTTATTTACATGTCATTTACAGATCCCCCAGACATTCAAGTGGAAAAATCATGGATACACTCGGGCGAAGGCTTTGAAGCGAAATTAGTGTGTATTGTTTATGCTGATCCTATTGCATCGGTAAGTTCCTGGAAATTATTTTTAAATCTTTATTGTTCAGAGAGTGGAGAAACATAATTGAATGTATTTTTAATATGTTTGGTATATGTGTCGTATACGTTATGTTGTTTGCATACATAAAATTAATCATACTCACCAGTGTTCAAATACGATTATGCGATTAAATTGTTGTGGTTGGTTGTGCTACTAAATAGCAAAAATCCATCCTATGGTTTAGATATTTTCTGATAAAAATTTCTTAAAAAAACCAACAATTGGAACTCAATTACTCCCTAAGAAAATATTCATTAAAAATCTAAACGTATTGCTTAGATATTTTTTCTCAATGAAAATATTTTCCAAAAATCCTTGCATATAACTTAGATATTCCCTGAGAAAATTTTCTTAAATAAATCTTTGATTAGGGCACAAGTAGTCCACAATATTCTTTGAAAATCCATGCCAAATAGTCTCTAAGGTTTTTTTACTCTCTATGGTTTAGATATTCCCTGGAAAATATTCTTTAAAACCCCACGCCTATGAGAAAATGCTCTTAAAAATCCACGGCTATGGCTTATATATTCCCTGAGAAAATATTATCAAAAAATCCACGATTAGGGCTCAGATTGTAGTTGAGAAAATAACATTTAAAAGAATTAGGGATCCATATCTCTGCATGCTACACAGTGTCATGACCACGGCCAAAAATAGTCAATACCAAGTACCTCGGAGGACTATTTTTTTATGATGACTGTTAGACAACACTACAATTAGAATAAATATGAAATTTCATATTGATACATCTGGGCACTTGTACCAAATTTCACCCATATGATGTTAATATTAAGTCCCGACATATACCAAAAATAGTCCATGAGAAATAATTCTTTAAAAATCCTCCCTTATGGTTTAAATTGTCCCAGAGAAAATATACTTTAAAAATTCTTGCCTAAGACTAAAATAGAATCTCAGAAAATATTTTTTAACAATCATTTTTTTTTAAATTGGGAAAAAATCGGTTTAGATTTAGATATAGCTCCCATATATATTTTCGAATTTTTTGGCATGTCGTACTGAATAAAAGTTGTATGCAAAGTTTCGAAAATGGTTCACGTATAGATATAGATAATATAATATATATATGTGCCCACAAAGGTGAAAGGTATCATATAGTGGGCCCAGTGCAACTTTACCACTTTCCTTACAGGTTTACGTTGATCTAGTTTTTTTTTTAATTTTCATTTTTTATGACACCTTAAAATTGTCATATCAAAATGTTATTAAAATACCTATAATTTCTTCAATTAATTAAATTAAATTTTTATCACACATAAATACATAAATATGTACATTAATATGTATATTAAAAATTATCAAAATATAACTTATTGCCACAGTATAATATTTCACATATCTATGTATGAATACATATTTCCATATTGAAATATAATCGTCATTAAGATAAATCATCCAATAGTGGTGTTATATCGATCATATTTTCCCCCAAAAACAAATATAAACACGAGTCAATGATAATAAATATTTTTGCTCTATATATTTACTTATATCACAACATTTAACGAACAGAAGAGAGAGAGAGAGGAAATGTATAAAATGACACTACACACACACACTTTCGCACCCATGGCAACAAAACAGTTTATATTATCCTGATATATGTGAGAAATAAACTTAAATCGTTAGCAATTAATTAAAATGTCATTAACCGGTCTCTACATAAATTTCAAAGTGTATAATTTTTTGTTTGTTTTTGTTTTTTTCCGAACAATTATAAACAAAAACAACAACACCAATCATAATAAGTGTTTATCAACACATACACATACTCGATGAGCGAACGGACAACAACAAAAAAATTGGGATAAACTGCAGACGTATACAATTAATTGCAAAACATTTTCACAACAAAGTTAATGATGACGAAGGCAATAAATAAACCATAAATTAAAATTTAATGTATATAGTTTGTTGTTGCTTTTGTTGTTTTTTTCTTTGTTGGATGACCTGTATTGACCTAGATTTATCATAAACAGCAGAAAACAAACATACACCGGTGGATAATAATGTGAATTGGATTTAATCGAAAATTATTTCATTTTAAAGTACAATATAAATTTTCAAAGTGGGATTTAATTGGCAGTAAGGACAATTTGGAGGACTCTGCATTATTATATGTCATTAGGCGTCGAATCACTTGTTAATAGAAGTATATAGATGCTTCACAAAATGAGTTTTGGATGAAGCTTGGGATTTTGGCAAATATTAAACAGATATTTGTGGAATGGAAACTGTGCCAAACTAATGTCCTGCGTGCAAAATTTAACACGTAGATCTGTTTGCCCCCTTACAGCAGTACCGGCCATTCTCAGTATATTGTAGGTATTTGGAAAACTATAATAAGGACACACCGTAATTTATTTATTTTTTTTTTAAATTTTCGGTCCTCTGACGTTAATATACTTCTTTGCAGACATATTTTAAGACCCCTCTCTATATTAGGTATTTTGATGGTTGTTCAAAATACTTTGAACTGATGTTTAGAAGATTTGATCGTTGGGGTGTTTTAAGTTAAGAGTCTAAAATCCCACATGCAACGCTGATAAACCTGCAATTAATTTATGACGCACAAAAAACATTCTATTATTAGAACAAATAGTTTATTTAGCTGAGTCGACCTAGACATGTGTGTCCGTCCGTCCATTATAATTTGTAAACAGCATACAGACCACAGTTATAGACCAATCTTCACGATGGATAGACCATGCAGGATGGGTTCTGGCCAATGAAGACACATATTGTTTTTGGAATAGATCGGTTAATATTTAGGGGATGAAATGGACCAAAAACTTTATTTTTTTAGGTTTTTCTGGTCGCTCCAGAGGCTGCAATTATGGCCCAAACACCGCGAATTTTTGCATGGAGAAGGGGATCGGACCAAAGCATAAGTATGCCTGTTTTGATAAATATCGGTCAATATTTGCGGATTAAATGGATCTTGGCTTTTGTGTGAAAAATTTCTAAATTTGTATTCTATGGGGTATATATTTGCACCTGAAGGTCTTAGACCCGAGAAGTTGATAGTATGTTCAAGAGGAGTGGTTGACCTTTAAAATGATAATAATTATATTGCCGCATGTACTCGGATGCAGGACTTACACATAAATATTTACAGGTGCTTACGTATTTACATATAATTTAGTAACCCATTACCACACTAGCAGGCGGAAATATAGCGCTGATCGCTTAGAAATTTTCCATGTGATTCAAGTTATGGTCACCGACAACGCCTATAATTTTCGGTGATGATCAGATAATAATTTTGGGATGAAGTGGACCGAAAACTTATTTTTTGGTGCTTACATATCGATCTATAGGCCAAAATTGAAAGCCGAACATCACAACACAACCCACGGTGAAGGGAATCTGGACAAGTGATTAGAAGGGCTGTACTGAATATTTGTTGACCTCTAGTCGGTCAAGAGGGTGCAAATATCGCGAAATATTGCCCTAGCGATATTTGCGAAATATTGCCCAAGTTATAGTTTCGTGAAAGTTGTGTAGGGTATCATATCATTTTGCTTTAACACCCTCAGCCTTATGGCTAATGAGGGTATATACACTTTTATACGGTGAAAATGTGCCTCATCGAAATAGTGGTTTTAGATCCATGTTTCTTTGGACCAAATCCGTTTCAGAAAATTTTGAGTCGATTTACCAATGTCCGTCCGTTGTCCGTTTGTCTCTCTGGCTGGCTAGCTGGCTGGTGTGCACTATAGCTCTCGAAGGGAGTAACCGATTTCAATCAAATTTTACACATCGTAATATTTCTTCCAAACTTATTACAAGTTCGAAGATGGAAAATATCCATGTACTCCTTCTGGTACCTCCAACACGAAATGGTCCGAATTTTGTTGAAAATTAATTTGTAATATCACGCGAATGGACTATCCGATTACACATCGTATTTTCTTTACGAAGCCAACATCGAGTCCGGAAGTGACTCATCTGCCCTTTCTTTCTTGTATATAAAATTGTAATTTTAATTTGAAGCGAAATAAATAAGCGATTTTAACAATATTAAATCCGAAACTACTTTCACAAAGCATATACCTTATATAAAGCCTGTGTTTTATACCGAAGTCCTCCGCAAATCATAGGCTAAGGGGGTATATATCAGTCGGCTGACTGACACTTGCATACTAATTTTTTGATAATTCTCATTGAACACCAATTCTTCTCCGAACTTTATGAATATTAGCCGACTTCTTAGGTCCGACCAATTAATGATATGGGGTAGAAAATTCCCCTACCATAAATTATCAATATATGTACTAGATACCCCAATTAAGGGTATTTTTAGGATTTCGGCATATTCATGGTGCTATGCCAATTTTCCAACTTAAGAGTCTTTAGTTTGACACTTCAATTTCTATTGCAATAATAGCAGCGTTAAAACAATTTCGATGGATTTTGAACGTATTTGGAATGTTGCCCTCATGGTGGAGGGTATATAAACTCAGACAACAAAAGGTTACGACATTCTTACTTGTTTACTTTAAAATGATAATCCACTCAAACCCATTACGTTGTTTTTCTTTTCCTACAAAACATTAAAACCCATACCATAATCTCTTCTTTTGTTTTTCTTTTTCCTCCATTGCAGGTTTCATGGTACCAAAATTCATTTTTGATACAGTCAACTGATAGGCGCATTATGTCATCAAGAGGAAATCGTCACACCTTGACCATACGGCACATTCAACAAGAAGATTTTGGCAACTATAGGTAAGTGACAATTTGGTTTTTTCCTTCTCCAACTTCTTCCGGTATTTATTTAGGATATCTAAAACAAGGAAAAATAAAACGAAAATCAACAAAACAAACATGGCTACCAATATTGTAACAGCAAGAAAAACACACACACACCAACAAAAAAACCAATCATAGTAGTGGTGGAAATTTCTTTAAAAACTTCTCCATAACATAAGATTAAATTGGAAAAAAGTAACGCCCTTATCCTTTTAAAAAATACACATATCCTTTAATAAGTAATGAAGTAACCTTCTATCAATATTCTGGTGATTCTCAACAAGTATGATGTGTCTAAGGTAGTGTTCACCAGTAGCTCCAGGTTTTTCACCGACCAGCATTTCTTTGCAGTTGTCACCGATGTTCATGTTGTGCTAAGCCACATAAGAGCAACTTTATTTTTCCTCTTATTTTCTGTGTTTTTTGTTTAAGGGTTATCGTTCGTTTAATTTGCTTTGGCTGTCAAATCCTGTTTCTTTTTTCTAAGAAATTATAAAAACAACTTCACAAAACCCTCAAAGTTGTTATTTTTACCTAGCCCTTTCGGGCTTACCACAAAACGTGTGTGTGCTTTTGAAATTGAAGATTTTTCGGGATTGTTTCTGTTTTGTTGTTGTCTTTACGGTTGTCAGTTAGTCAGTCATTTTGTTGGTTTTTGTGATTTTGTTCTTCATTTCTTTTGGGCGGTTTTTTTCTGCTTCAAATTCCCAGCATGAAATCCCTGTTCGTACACAGTTACATCACTGTCAATCTGTCGAAAACATATTAAATTTACGGAAGTAGCCAAATGTTATCTGAAGATATCTTTGTTTTTTTTTTACCGAATGACAAAAAATAGAGGTTCATATGTATGTAATAACATGTACAGTTACCTGTATGAGTTTTAAAAGCCCATCAATGATGATGGTCGTATGATGATTGATGAATGATGTTCATGGGAAAATTAAAGATGATTATATTTATGGGAACGTCGTATACTTATCCTTATTTTTTATTTAATACTTGCCTTCATATCTTGAAATAAATACACCAACGTGCTTGGAAAATACTAAAAATTTGTGAAATCGGGTGATACAGTTATATAAAAATCAGCTCAATATGGCCACCATGAGAGTAATACCAAACATAGGTTACAATAAAATACATTTTTTTTACAAATATATTGCGTGAATGTGTGGCGTATGATATATGAGATATAGATTATACGGCACATAGTTCAGTTAACGTGGATATTAACCCTTTGTGGCCCAATGTTGTCCACAGGCAACAAAATGTTTTAGAGCTTATATTTAATATGTAGCTACTAGATATATATTCCTTGGATTTCAACAAGACCTGATTATGGACGACACATATCAAAAGAAAAATCTATAAAAATCAAATTTTTGGTAAAGTTATAAACTTTTCAATATAAAGAAGAGGGCAAAAATGAATGTGTATACAATCCAAATTATTTAAATCTCTTCGTATTCGAAAGGTAACAATTCTGCCATCAGATTTATTTTTGATTCTTGTAAAACAGAATATAGAGAATAATTTAATTTTTCATCGATTTTTCATTTGGGTTTCTTGATATTGGGCTTTTATTTTTCGGAAAGAATGTACTGTATCTCCCGAATGCAAGAATGTAGCAATGTAAAATTTTGTCCATATCCTATCTAGTAGTTCATTAAATCTGTAAACAGAAAATTGTTCTATGATTACGGAAAAAAATTCGGGGCTCAAAGGGTGTATGGATGTTATGCCCATACACAATAATAACACGCCTGTGAATGCAGCTTAAAAATGTAAATGTAAAAATGTGTGAGCTTAAAAATATATGTTTCTCAAGTTTATCTGCAATGCTAAATTTAATACGGTCATCTATTTTTCCCCCGTAAAATGACACATATCCTTATCAGTAGGTTTTAAGAGCATTTAGCACAGTGACAGTCCATTTTAGTCATTTAGCAGACCCTAACCACATATTCAGGCAATAACTGCTGTAATTTCGCATTTCCGGTACTTAGAATCTAATATATGTCTTTAGAGAAAAAAACATTAATACAGGTCCAAGCTTCATTTTTATAAACTTCACTGCAATTTTAAATAGTTTAACAGGTTTAGTCCCACTTTCAAACCAAAGTAGCTGTAATTTTTCATGCCTGATTCTCAGAATGTTATAGACTTTATTTTAGACAATTTTCCATATAGGTTCACTTTGCCATATTCTTCATATAAAAGTCATACCCGATTTTAACTACCTTAAATTTGACTTTAAGGGGTTTGCCTTAAATTTGACTTTAAGTGCTTTCAGATTTGAACTTTGCTTTATCAAAAAGAAATCCATTATTTTTTAGCAGATGGATTTCTCGAATAGTGTCGATCAATAAATTTCAGATTTATGCACGTTGGAAGGGTGAAATTTCGCAGTAAAAAAAAATATTTTTCTATTTATTGTTTGGTGCATTCAGTTTTGGTTTCGTATATTCCGTTCAGGAATTTTTGATGTTATAGATGCACCTCGCACAGGTAGGCCGGTCGTCGAAAATGTCTATAAAATCGGAAAACAGATCGAAGTTGACTGGCATGTTAGCAGATGTATCATCGATTCAAAAAGAAGCTCGATGTTTGAGTGCCACACAAATTAACAAAAAAAAAAAAAAATAGGATGGATCGAATTTCCATCTGCGAAGCCTTGGATGAAATATACATATTTCTTAAACGGATGGTGACTGAAGATGAGAAATTAATCACATACGATAACCCTTTGCGAAAACGATCGTGGTCAAAAGCGGTAAAGTACCTCAAACGGTGACCAGACCAGGACAAACGCCAAAGAAGGTTCTGCTTTGTATTCGGTGGGACTGGAAGGGGACTATTTATTTTGAATTGGCCAATTGATTTAGCGAACATTTAACGGTCACATATTTATGCAATATCTAATGTAGAAAATTTGCTCAAGGATTCCTCTATCTAACGGTATGTCTTATTACGATCTTGGACTATCGGTCCAAATAAATAATCAAGATTCTATGGTAAATTCCCATTTAGGCGTGGCCTTCGATTGTTCAAAGACCGAAGGCCACGACTAAAGTGAATGAGCATATATTCAACGTTGCTATATGATGGTGGTTTATAGCCATACAATAATTTAAGTATCCCGATACTGTCACTTAAAAAATTTTCAAGGGTTAGACCGTTTTTCTTTTTTTAATTTATTTTTTTATTTGTCTTGTTTGGTGGGTCTTCCTACAAAAAATTATAAGTATAGGTCGATTTTTGAGTAAGGTTCAGGCCCTTTATAGGTATTTTCCATCTGATACGCCTTTTTATGGTATTACGTAGTGGCTGAAAATTGCTATTAAAATATATTGGTATCCAAACAAATCTTTTTCCGTATTTTCAAGGTCCTAGACCAATTTTCCAAATTTGTGTATGTAGTTTCATATATATTTTCCTTTAGGCCGCAATTTACCATGAGATATTTTCTATTTTACAATACCGATCTATTTAAGGTAATTTAGATGATCTCCTCGTGGTGAAGAATTCAAAAAGTTCTGTCTGACCGAACATATTGAAACTATGAGTTCTATAAAACAATCTATTAGGATTTGAACATAAACTATGTTCCTTAAATCACAATTACTTACCCATTAATCAATATATGTTTTTGTAAAACTATATACTACAAAAACTTTATCGAACCAAACTTATATCTCTTCCTAATTTCTCTGGCAATTTTCGTCTGCCCATAGAAGCATAAACTTTATCTTGCTTAAATAATTTAATTTGTTCTTCTTTTTCTTAGTTGATTTTTTCGAATAAAACCAAGTTAGAAATGCCCGCATAACCAAAAGATGAACAGAAAATATTTATACAAACGACTATAAGTAAAGAATACAAAAAAATACATATTGACATGTCTGTGTATGTGTACACAAATACGTAAAGGGATTAGCCGTTAGGAATTGATGACTGGCTGGCAGGCTGACTGGTTGTTGGTTGATGTGTACCATTTTTTTCTTTTTTGCTATGAAAAGTTTTTCGACTTTTGTAATTTTTTTCTGTTCACTACTTGTCAATATTGTCTTTACATTTTTTTGGCTTAGTATGTGCTGTCTTATACTCCCCTTTAGGCCGTTCCAGTCTAACGAAAAATATTCCCTAGATAGTCAGTCACAGCTGCATTAACAT